AAGACTCCCTTAATCTACATTAAAAGTGTTATGTTAGACGCTCATGATGTTTGCAAAAGGAAACAAAGGCATTTTCTTTTCTTTTTTTGAATGGGCCAACTGAAGTTTGATGGCCCTCTTAAAGACAATAATTTCAGGGCATGGTTATTAAGTTACTAGTGGTCATATATGAAGGAAGGAAAGGACAGTCATTTTCATGAAAATTTAAAAAGTGTAGAGAAAAAAAATGAAGATATACTCTAGAAATGCTGGTGAGAAATATTTGTGCAATATTTTTATGCAGCAAATTCAACCAATCCATGTAAATCATCAACAAGAGTGACATAAAATAGTACTCTGATAAAAAGAAAATCAAAGTGGTTAAAATAGAGCCTACTTAAGTCTTGAAACTGAAGGTAGGAGACATGTCAGAGGCAATCCAGACTCCTCCTACAGAAAATGAAGAATAATCTTTTCCCAAAAGCAGCATTTAAAACATGATCCAAACATAGGTGTGACTGTGACTAGTATTGCTAATGGTAAACAAAGAAAGCATGAGTCACATACCCCAAAATTATGAGATGGGCTTTTTTTTTTTCTTTTAATATATTGGTAGGTTTGCCCTCTAATTTTTGAGCCTTCACCTTACACTTTGTCCTTGTTTTCAAACTTTTGTCTGCAACTGTGAGTGAGAAACTTTAGCTTAGATGAAACCCAAGATTCTGCCATTAAACAATGTAATTTAAATAGTAAATATGAGATCAAACATAATCATCTGACAAAGTCAAAAGAGCTGGCAAATATAGCAACTTCAAGAAAAAAATAATTTTCATTCCAAAACTGGTGGCTTCTCGCTCTTCTTTAAAACATAACACAACAGAATGGAAAAACCCAAACCAGTATCCCAAGCAAGGAAGTAGAGGACATGAGATAGGGTAGTTATGGTAACTGTGCTTCAAGATGCTGCAGACAGTAGTAGGGATCACACAGTAGGACCATTTATGACTGCACAAGCTCATGAGGTTCTAAATAGCAGAGTCTGTCCAGGCTATACACACATGCTTGGGATCTCCAGGTGCTCTCACATAAGAGCATAAGATCCCAGGAGAGTGAATATCCCCTCAAATTCTTTTGCAATCAAGATCCATATCCTCAAGGACTCTCAAAAGCAGGACAATAATGAATCATAGTATACACGTGGACCAAACAAAAAAAAAAAGTCCACAGAACTAGTGAGCATTTTCTGTTCTTTGAACGTGAATGAGATCCCACAGTCTGACTAACAAGAAGAATTCTTTCTTGAGAGGGGAATGAAGCATACCAGTTGCCTCAGTGAAAAACAATTGATTACTGTCTCCCAACTTGACATCAGACCAAGCCAGCATGTTAAAGGTGCAATATCTGGCACAAACTGACAGGTTTATGTTGCCACCTTACAGATATCAGATATTGGGACATGCAAGGCACTACATAGGTTCTGACACTTAACAGAAAACCTCATCTGTGCTAACTGATAATAGGCGGAGATATGCTGTAGGAAGTGTCTGACAAGATGACTTTGCCTTTCAACAAGCTAGATATAGCCACAAAGAGGAAGAAAGAGACAGTTTAATGGGCTTAATCAGGAATTACCTGTAAGGCTCTGGAAACATTCAAGGAATGTAGCTGAAGTCTCCCCCAGCGATGACTATGGCTTCGGAAAGGAAACTGATAGGTTAAACTAAGGTGAATCACCATTGGAACATACCTAAGATACAGTCCAGTATAAACCACTGCCAGTGTTTGAAGTGCTGGTGTGATTTAATTTGATAAAGCCAGTGTGGGAGACAAGTCTTTCCTCAGTGAATCAGGAGACAGTCATCCTGCCCTTTGTGCCTTCAAACAAGAACAAGCAAATGTACAGGATGTGGACAGGCTCCCAGAACCTCTCTTTTTCAAACAATCTGATCTTGTGTACAAGGTACACATGCACCTATGACAAGACGCATAACACATTCTAAAGAACCGCCTTGGGCCAAAGAAACCAGTTTGCAGAAAGACAGGGAAAGGAGATGTCTGAGCATAAGACAAGGGAGTGATGCAGCTAACATTATGGACCTGCAAACTTACCAAAGGGCTGCACCAGAACTTCAGCAATATCTGTTTTACAACCAATCCACATAATGAACCAGTTTGCTAGGGTTCAGTCACAAATGAGCCCAGAGAAAAGGCCAGAAAGTCTCCTGTAGATAGCACCCATATCAGAGGCACTTCCCTTCTATTATTTGATAAGTTAGGCTAAGCATAGGAGCAGCTGAAAAAGAAAAGGGCAGAAGGCTATAAATACTAGCTATAAATACTATTCAGTCTCCTCAGCTCCTTCCTGGTAAGCACAGCGGTAATTCACTGTATGGAATCCTGTTTATTGGATAGTAAATTTATGACAAGACATTTATGACATACTGTGGAGCCTGTAAGGAGGGCATGACCAGTTATTTGGTACTATGCTGAGTTTAGTCTCATTAGCTGGATCATTCAGCACAGTGACTCAAATAAATGACTTTTTCATCATGTGCTTGTAGCTCGCTTTTTAGCTGAGGTTTGTTCATTTTGTCAAGTTTTATCCATCAAGAAACTGATGCACTTTTTATATAAATATAAATTAAAATCTCAATCAATCTATTTATTTAAAAAAATGAAAAATACAAAGGGAACAATAGGTAGTATCAAATTGCACGCTGATTTTCATTTAAGACAACTTTTTGTGAAGGAATATCACCAAGCTGGACTGTACAGCTATTCTCGGTTCCTTAGTGATATGTGACCCATGCTACTACATGCTTCCAGCTAGACTTGCAGGCTGGTGGTTCTCTCATAAAGACTATACAAGGTAAGACTTAAACCTGGGACTGGTCCTATCAGATCAATGCCACTGCAATCTTTGGTTAAGGCCCCAAGAACAATGTCTTGAAAGACGTATCAGCAAATGCTTCAATTTCCATGTAATGACTAGGGCCTGGTTTAAATCATGGTGATTCCTTTAATCTTGAAGTTCCCCCCACACGCCCTCCTGCCACTGACTGGCAGAGGGACCCATTGGTACTGCTTACTCTTGATGGCCAGGCAACAAAAATCACGGCTTTAAATATCCTGCAGTTTTTGTGAACCATCCAGTCAGCAGCAACAAAAAACGTAGCAGGAGGGCACACAGGGTGACTCCAAGATTAAAAGAGCTGCATCACGATTTAAACCAGGCCCTAGGTATGAGGAATGAAGTGTGAAACAAGTGCCTGAGTACTATCTGCCAAGAACCTAATTTCAGTTTCTAAAAAATGGTTTTCCTCTTAGTAGACTGGATCTTTACTCTAAAACAGTGGTTCTCAAACTTTTTATACTGAAAGCACCCCTCAGACTCAAACCAGCCCTTGGAAAATGCCATGACTTAGTCTTCACTCTTTTTTTTTTTTTTTTTGACTGCAGAAAAATAATAGAGTAGTTTTTCTATTGCAAAGAACTCAGAAAAACCACAACCATGGATTTCTATTAGAAAACTCCAGGTTTATCTTGTGAATCATGTTTGCAAACCAAACAATGCTAAGTAAGTGTGCAGCACTGTGCTTGACCACCATCAGTCAAAAAGTTCCTCCTACTCATCAATGTAAATTTTCCCTGCTGAAGCTGGAAGCCATTGATCCTACTCCTGTCCCCTACAGCCATAGAAAAAAGCCCATCACCAACCTCTCTGTAATCGCCCTTCAGGTATTTGAAAACTGCTATCAAATTTGCCCTCAGTCTTTTTTCTCCAGACTAAACCCTAGTTCTTTCAGCCTTTCCCCATAAGCCTGATCTTCCAGGCCCCTAATAATTTTTGTTGCTCTGCTCTAGACTCTTTCTAAACTGTCTACATCCTTCTTGAAGTGTAGAGCCCAAAACTAGACAGAGCACTCCAAGGCGAGGCCTCACCAGTGTTGAAGAGAGTGGTAGAATTACTTTCCTTTATTGGCAAAGTGATACTCCTTTTAATAAAACCCAGTATGCTGGGTTTTCAGGGAGAGGGGAAGTTTCAACAACAGCACGCTATTGGCTCATATTCAACTTATGGTCTACTGTAAACCCTTGGTCCTTCTTTGCAGTACTGCAATCTAACCAGTCATTCCTCAGTCTTTATTTGTGCATGCACTTTGCACTTGTCCTTGTTAAATCTCATCTGATTGATTGCAGACCATTCTTCAGTCTGTCTATTCTGAATCCTACCTTCCAGAGCATCTGCAACTCCACCCAACTTGGTGTTGTCTGAAAATCTACAAAGCATGCACTTGATCTCATCATTAAGAAAACTATTAAACAATATGCGATCCAGGACAGACCCCCAAGGAACACCACTTGATACCTGCTCCCTTATAGACAGAGCCATTGATGACTATTGAGTACAATGATCCAGCCAGTTATGTATGAGGACCTACCTAATTCACAAAGGCTGCCTCTTAATCATCATGAAAAAAGAACTGCCCCCCAATCGTTCACCAAAAGCAGGAGTTTAATAAAGGCATAAGGAGACTAAAGCAACACAAAAGAGGGGTTCTTTCCCACCCCTTCAGATTTTGTCTTGGCCCTATATATGCATACAGGTCTGCCCACTTTCTATAATCCATTCAGGGGAGGTGGTCACAACTGAATGACCCCTCCAATTCACTACCAGAGAATGACAACAATTCTAGGTGGCAGCCCAGACAAAAAAAAAAAAAAAAGAAGAAGAAGGGGGATGGGGGTGGTAATGCACAACACATAAAAAAAGAATACAACTTCATAGAAACTGCAGCCATCATACCAAAATGAAACAAAGCTGCATTTCGGTATTAAGGGAAGACAGTCAAAGTAATAAATACAGCTGCAAAAGACATCTAAACCATTAACAAGGATGGAAATGTGTTGCTGAGGAAGAGTGTAGAAACAGCCCTATTTAGACTGGCAGTATTTTAATACAAGTTTTCAAAATTAATAGTAATTACCAACATACAAAAAAAACCAAAAGCAAAGCTTACCTCTAAAGCTCTTACATGTCCAGTTGCTGCTTTATGCTCAGAGTCTAGTTTATGCTTCTTGGCAGACACTGTAGTACTCTGAAGAACCAAATCTACTTTCAGAGTGTTCAATGCTATGCAATCCTACATAGAAAAAATACAAAGCATCAACCATTTAATGTTTCATGACACATTGATCCACTGCCAATATCAAGGCTTTGAAAACAACACACAAGACATTTAAAATTTCTACATGAAGTCAAACAAGATTCAGCTCACAAAAGACCACACACACACACACACACACACACAGAGTTGTACACACTGTAAAAGCCAACAGTTGCACCTGATCTCTCAGAGTATAGAAACACATTTCTTAGACCGCAGCGTGTAAAAAAACCAAACCAAAACAAAACCAGAAAGAAAGAAAAACCACAAGCAGATTTGTTTTTTTAACAGTTATTGTGGCTGGGAACATTATAAAAAACAGGATCTAAGTTAATACTCTTCAGACTAATAAAAACTGAGATTTTTTTGGAAATACTGTATTTGGAAAAAAGGTATAATTTAAAAAATTATGTCCTTTGATTTTAGTAAGGCTTTTGGCACTGCATCTCATAATATATCTAAGTTAAGGAAACAGTCTAGAGCAGGGGTCTTCAACCTTTTTTAATAAGTGTACCCCCGATGGGAGACACACGACTAGATGGAAAGCAGCAGCAACAGGGGGTGGTGGGTGACAGCGGTGGCTGCCACATGCAAGCTTTCCCCCCCACGATCAGCGAGCCGGGTGGCACCTGTGCAGCCCACCGCTGCCCTTGCCACCCCCTCTCTCCCCAGCCCTGCTCCCGGGAGGCAGTGGTACAGGATGGTGAGTGGCAGAGCTCCATCCCTGCCCGCCTGTGCATACCCATTAGGGCCTTCCCGTGTACCCCCAGTTGACAACCCCTGGTCTAGAGGAAACTGCTATAAAAGCAGATGCTAAAGCTGTTAGACAATAACATTCAAAGAGTCGGCAGCAACAGCTCAACATCAAACTGGGAAGAGATATCAAGTGCAGTTTCCCATGGATCTGCCCTGGTCCCAATACTGCTCAATATTTTCATTAATGACTTGTATCTTTGTGCTCTGACTGTACACTTTGTGCCCTGGAAAACAAGGTTCTTTAGGTAAGTTTTATTAGACCAACTAAATAGTTGGAAAACTTGTTCTTTGCAAGCTTTTGGGCACAAACACCCTTCTCCAGGCATAGAGAAAGTCATTTCCCTATGCCTACACAAGGGTGTTTGTGCCCAAAAGCTTGCAAAGAACAAGTTTTCCAACTATTTAGTTGGTCTAATAAAAGATATCACATTTACACAAAGAACCTTGTCTACCTTTGTCCTTAGACCAACATGGGTACAACCAACAACCCACTTAGTACACTGGAACTGAGTGTACATTTTGTAGATAATACCAAGCTGGGTAGGAGAACTGACATTTTAGGGGATAGGATTAAGACTCAAAATTAAATAGATAAATTAGGAAAAATGGTCTGCACTGAATAGGATATAATTGAATTACGATAAACATGAAGTACCACATTTAGGAAGGAACAAATCAAATGCAAAAATACAAAATGGGAAATGACTACCTAGGCTTCAGAACTGCTGAAAAGGACCTGTGGGTTACAGGGGAATCACAAAGTGAATCTAGGATTTAATATAGATAAAAGGAGGGATTTGATAAAAAAAAAAAAGGCATGGTTATAAAAAGGATAGAGATCAATTGTTCTGTGTCCACAGGGGAAAGGATAGTAGTAATGGCTTAAACTGCAACAGGGAGATTTATGTTAGATATTAAGAACTTGTTTCAACAAAGTAGCTACGCAATGAAAAAAAGTAGAGAGGATGTACAATCTTCACCACTGGAAGTTTGTTTTGGGTGTTTTTTTAATGCAAATAAGATCAATTTGTCTGGGATGGCTTAGCTAGGTATATTTCTGTCTCGAGTAAGGGACTGGACTAGATAACTTCCTGAGGGTCCTTCCAGCCTTAACTTGGTGGAAGACTCCTCTAACTATATATAAAGGGGAAGGGAGGCATCTCTTTCTACTTTTGGCAGAGATGCAAGTAACAGATGACTCCAGCTTAGGGTGGGGAGGCGATTTAGTCTTAAATGATGAAAAAAATGAGAGTCAGAATAATTTATTAAAGCCAGTAGATCGTCCCTTTCAGAGTCCTACTTCTTGTCAACGTTCAGCTAGAGGATAAGGCACCTGAACTGTTACGGCTCATTAGGAACAGAAATGTAAATAGCATTCTGAATCACCTTACTGTTCAGCAGTAGCCAACAATATGGGGACAGAGTACAGATTAGGTAGCTCAGCATTATTTCTTTTAGAGCTCTTTAGCTTATAACAATGTTAGTGTGCCCTAGACTTTATCTGATACAGATGAGATGAATCACACTCTGAAGAGTGTCGGGCACACCTTGCTTTGGTATCTGAACCTGATGAATAGATACAGTTTTCATCCTCTGAAGATGACATATCAGATTAAAATAAATTTTAAAAAAATCAAACTGAGCTTTAACATGTACTGAGGAGTTAGATACTAGATAGATAGTTTGATTTTTTAAATAATAAAAAACACATAACAAGCAGACTGTTGGTATGCTGAGACAACTACCTATCATGCATATCAATATTGGCTCACCATCTTCTTGCACTCCCCTGTCTGTATCCATCTGCTTCCTCAGCTTACTCTCAAGGGGAGGACCATTTTTCAGTTCTGTGTTTGTACTAACAGAGAGGGACCCTGATCCACGACTGTGGTTTCAATATGCAGTGACTATAAGAATAGGCAGCTAGATCTCCTAGTGCAGTAGAGGCTTTGAGCCACAAGAATGTTAGCAGAAAAAGCAGATGAATGCAGGCATCAGTTTCCAAGAATAGTTAGTATAGAGGATTCCAGCACAGGGCTTTTGAGACTTAGCACCAAATTCGCTAATACTAGGGTATTGTGACTGGTGACCAAGTGGGTGCCAGAGGGAACTTTATTTGGCCTTGGACTACCTTCTCCATGGCAAAGATTTCTGCCCTCTACAGCTAAGACCAGTCAAGATGACCTTGGGATACACCTGCAGCTGAGAAGAGCATTGCTTTCTTCTTCCCCAACCTTAGAAGTTACACTGGTTTAAAAGGACTATTTCTTAAACATACAACTCATAGCTATGAGTGAGGAGCTGAAAAATAATCTTTGAAGCAGAATTCACTAAGGTTTTCTGTTTCAACCACTTCAGGATTTGAAGAGGGACATACTGCCCTCCTTACCAAAACTTGAAGAGTCTTTTACTTTTGAATTGTCTTTGAGAAAAACCTGAAAGCATCTCCAGGATATACCCCTTACTAAGCCATAACTGGCATGGCCATCCTAAAGAAAACTATAGCCTCACAAAGAGATCAATTTTTAAACCATTAAAATTTTCCATTATAAACTAGACTGGGTACTAGGTAAACCTTTCAGAAGAGCAAGATTCCTTTTCAAAAAGGAAAGTACAGTATGTAAAGCTTACCTACTAAAAACCAAGACAAACTAATAAAGCAAGTTAAGCAGGTAGATTCTTAGTTTTATTTTATATGCTTCAGTCTAAGAACGATTCACAATAGCTCAGCTTGACCCATTTGAGCTTTCAAGATTCCCCTAAGCATCTAACTTCTCACAGGAAAAGCTGCTTAGGCAACTAAAATACAGATATTGTGTACAGACATAACTTCCATCATTCTGATGAAGCAAAATGTTTTTTACATAATTTCTTGCCTGAGGCTACTTAGGGCTTAAAAATTAGGTGTCCCTATAATTAAGTCCACAAAGGGGTCTGGTCCTAGAATATGCCTATCACTAATCTACAGCAGGGGTCAGCAGCCTTTTAGGGGCAGACCAAACTAATTTAGCCTGGTCAGAAAGCAAGCTGCTGCTTGCAATCCAACCACCAGCACAGTTTCCCTTGCCACCAACTTGCTGACAATGTCCAGGCTTTGCAGACTGGATAAAATTGCTTGGCAGGCTGAGTCTGGCCCCTGGTGCAAGTTGCTGACCCCTGACCTACAGCATTCAGTTCAGCACTCAGGGCTATTTTCATTTGGAAGCATGGGATGGTGGCAAGGCCCACCTTTTAAAAAGTAGAGCAAGGGTGTCAAACTCATCCAGGCTGTAGGCCTTGTGTCTAAAAAGGTTGAGAATCACTGGATTAGATATCTGAATATCCCAATTACCTGTGCTTGAAAACTAATTAAATGACAGAATTCAATCCAAAGTCTAAGTATCCATATGTGGAACCAAACAGGAAGCACAATTAGAGCAGGGATGAAAAAGAAAAACAGAAAAATTGAAAATAGGTTTTTAGCAACTATACTGAAGTGAAATCTTTTCTGAACACACACACACACACACACACACACACACACACACACACACACACACACACACACACACACACCCCCCCTCTAAATTAAATCAATGCATAAGTAATATAGCAATATTCCTGAAGTAATTAACAACTCTCACTCCTCTGCCCAGCTGTGCAGTTAAATACCTTCTGATCTGTACTGCTCAGAAATACAAAAGTGCATGGTAAAGCCACTTTGCTATAGGGTGCAAGAGGAAGATAAGAATACTCCTACAGACAGGTTGGCCATTAAATCAGTGGACATCCTGATCACTTTGTTTGTACCTTGTAGGAAAAGCAGCACATATATGGACTGATGCATGCATACTTAAGAGTATGCTATTGTTTGATATTTTAAGAACTTAGAAATGTGTAAAATATTATTTGGAAAAAAAACCCCAGTTGTTTATTAATATCGTATCACCACCACAAGATCATTTTTAAAAATAATTTTTAAAAGTCTACAGGTTCACCATGCCTTAAAAATGGTTATCTTTTGCATTTTTTGTGGTTTTCAAAACTGCTTCAGGTATTTGACCCAACATGATTTATGGAAGATTCCGAACAATGCCATCTGGGCTCAATCAATATATACAAAATCAAAATGATCTAAACCAGTCATTTCTCTTTTTCATGCTGGTTACTGAGTGCAGTGAAATCAGACTGCTTCAAAAGACAACATTCAACTTCGCATAGGATTAGGTTTGAACACTTCTCAAAACTGGGAGTCACAGGGTAAAGATTACCTCAAAAAAGCCTAAAGGATTTCAGAATATCCAACTCAATTCTAAAGATAACAGTACACACAAGAAGATTTCCACAGAATACAAGAAAACGTTTAATACAAGCATCACTTCAAACAGGCTTAGGAACTGGAGAAAATAATTAAGGAGTGGGATGGGCTCCCAATGCACTTCTGATTGGGAATCGGCCTTCTTTTCTTTTAATTTTTTTTTAAAAGAGACACACATAATGCTAAAATGCAGACCAACTTGTAATTTACTGATGCACGAAACTGTGTGTTTAAAGACCAGTTAAAAAAAAAATCTCTGTGGACATGTCTACACGTGCAAATAATGCACCTGAATTTGTTGTGCAGAAAATTCAGCTACATTAAACTGTGGTCAGGCATGCATCTGAACATGCACCCGATGGGAGCAAAAATGTGAAAATGGATTCCGAAACCCTTCAGGCTGTTCCTACACTACTCTGCCACCCCTCCAGCAGCCAGGGGGAGCGCCAGGCTCCCCTGGGTGCCAGCCCTGGGCTGGCAGGGGATACAGGGGTCAGGCCTGGGTTCTGCAGGGTGGGAGAGAGCTGTCCGGGTTTTAGGGCAGCTCTCTCCCAGCCACACGGAGATCTCTCCCCACCCCCTGGAGATTGAGGCCGACCCCAATCTCCACACAGGCAGGGAGGGAGGTGCCCTGGAGCCGGGATAGCTTTGGCCACCCCACAGAGATTGGGGCCAGATTGGAGAGGTTCCCCAGAACCAGGGCAGCTCTCCCCCACCCTGTGGAGACTGGGGTTTAGACAGGCAGCAATTGTGGCCCCCTGCTGCCTGGACTGACTGGGAGCAATTGCTCCCAATCAGGGTCTACATGTGCACTTCGGCACATTAGCTATTGCGCTGTTTTTCTAGTATGCTGTTGGGGTTTTTTTCTTAATATAAAAACTGAACCCTTCATAACAACAGAAAAATATATACAAGGCAGAAAAGCAGCCGTACCTTAATAAATTCCTTTAATTCTATAACAAGTTTGGCTTTTTGGATATTGATTTCTTTGATCTTTGCATTTGTATGTTGCGCCTCTCGGTCTAAGTTGATAGCATCTTGTTCCATCTGTCTTAAACTATGGGAAAAAACAATTTATGATTAATTGATTACATTGTGTTGAGACACCAAATTTCTCTGCTGAGGCCCAGCCCAATGAACTATATGGTAAATCTTTTGGCTTTGGACTAATAGCATACAGAGTTTGTACTATATATAAGTAGATACAAAAGTACTGCTTAAAAGTCTGGTTATGGAGCATCTGTGTTAAGCCTGCAGCAGTTTCAAAAAAGGTAAAATGCATCAATTCTGGATTAACAAAATTACTACAGGCATGTTTATTTCAAAGTCAGTATTTTCAAAGTTGACTTACACTTTCATGTGCTCAGGGAGACCAGGGAGTGGGGGGTCAGGAGAAGGTGGCAAGGGAGCCACCTGATCCTCCTAAACCATGGGCGGGCAATTATTTCAGGTGGAGGGCCACTTACCCAGTTTTGGCAAGCTGTCGAGGGCTGCTTGGGTAGCCCCACCCCTTGACAGGAGCCCCACCCCCTGGTCACCATCTTGGGACCAATGGGCCAGCACCGGTGGGGCCCAGAGCAGGGAGCAGGCTGTTAGGGATCTGTGGAGCCAGGTTGGGCTGCACCAGCAGGGAGAGAGGGGAGCTGGCCTGGCTCCATAGAGCCCCTACCAGCTGGGACCCTGTACTCCTGCCACCCTGCTCTGGGCCCCGCTGGACCCGCCCCCCACAACTTCCAGATCAGGGCTGGGCTGCTTCCTCCCTCCCCCCTCACTCTAGCACATCCGGATTGGGCCCAGGCTGCTTTCCTCATCCCTACCCAGCATGTCTAGACTGGGGCTAGGCTCCTCCCCTCACCCCCAGCATATCCAGATTGAGGCAAGGCTATTCCCCCCACCCCCAGCACAACTGGGTTGGGGTCAGGCTGCTCACCCCGCCCCCAGCACGTCCAAATTGGGATCAGGGCCGGGCTGTTCCTTCCCCCCAGTACATCCGGATAGGGGCTGCTAAGCCCCAATCCACCCCTGCCCCATATATCTAGACTAGGACCAGGACTGGGCTGCTTCCACCTCACTCTGCACATCCAGATTGGGGCCACTCTTGCCCCACCCCACCCTTCACAGAAAGATCAAGGTTGGGCTGCACAACCCCACAGTTGGATCAGGCCCACTGTCCAGATCTGGGCCACAGAGGGACCTGGCACCACTCATCCAGCCCACAGGGTAAAAATGTTAGGCTACTATACAACAACAAGTACATTTTTTTCAGTAAACAGACAAAAAAAAAATTTTTTTTATTTTTTTTTTTTATTTTTCCCCCCCCCAGTACCAGGTAACCTTAGTCACATTTTTTCTTATTCCTTATGTAGAGGAGAGAATACACACAAACACACACACACACCCAAACACATACAAACACACACACACACACTGAATTCCTGCAATACACAATGGTTTAAGATACTGTGTTTAAAAAAAACGTTCTGGATTTGTTTTCATTGGCCTGATGGAGATAACTGAAAATCAGGGCAGCGTGAAGCTTTAGTAGCCGATTTGATTTGGAGGAGATTCGGCCCAATTTGGCACCTGAATCTCCAAATCTGAATTGAATTGGGAGACCCTTTAAAAGGTCCAAATCAAAAATCAGAAGCCTCTGAATTGATCTGGAGAGATTCAGAGATTTGGAAGGCTTGCAGCAAACAGAAACTGAGAGGAGGGAGAGGGATGGGGTGATCTTCCATAAAGGCCATCCTTGACTTATGATGGTTCCAGTTACGACAAATAGCACTTACGACCTTTGTAAATTGCGACCCTGCTTCCAGGTTCTGTCAGGGGTTTCGACTTTACGAGGCTTGACACAGCTGCCTCCAGCTGGTAAGTCTGTTGTGGCAGGTGAAGGGGAGAGGCAGGGCAGATCAACGCCCCCACAGTGAAGGAGGGATTGGGGCTGGAACAAGCTGCCCAGCCGGGGCTGGGGGGTGCAGGACTCAGGGGTCAAGGCTTCAGCCTACCTGGCTCCCCAACTGTACACTTAATGGTAAAACTGTCATAATCTAAAAGAAGCCAATAAGCATTTTTGTTTCAGTGTTGCTAGCAAAATGGTTCTAGACATCCTATTCAAAATAGGATACGAGGCTGAATATCAGACATATTCTTGAAGTTGAATGCTACCAAAGAAAGAAAAAGTATCTGCAGTAAGCATACCTATCGTGTTTCATAGCAATTTTTGATTCCAGTTGTCTCCTTTTGTTTTTTCTCTCCAGAAGTTCCTTCTTCTGCTGTCTAAGTTCATTGTCTTTGCGCTCCAGATGTCTCTGCCTCTCAGACAGTGTAGTCAAATCAGAATCCAGTGACCGCAACTTATTATTTATTCCCTAAATAATGATACAGAAAACATATTTATTTATAATCAGCCCAGACTTAGGTCATCTACATGTGCTATTAAGGTAACAGAATAAATACCAGCACAGTGCATGCTGGAGTCAACTATTCCTGGGCACAGTATCTACATGTGCACCTGGGACAGCAGCACTCTGAGCGCGGATAGAGCCGCCATAGGCTGGCAGCAGGCTCGAGGGGTCAGCCCCAAACTCCAGGTGGTGACTGTTGGGCAGTGGAGGAGCTGGCTGGGGCATAGGAGTGCCCAAAGTGTGGACCTGCGTAGCTAAGCAGCAGGCAGTGGTCTGGCCCCTTGCTGCCTAGGCTGACCAGGCACAATTTATGCCCAGGTCAGAGTTCACATGTGTGTTTCACCACAGTTAATAACTCCACTGTAAGAAACTGCCCCAAACAGTACTATCTTACAGCGGAGTTAATTAATTTACTGCGCCCTAATACTGACGCTCGTGTAAGGAGTGATGCTTCACTGCAGAGCTAATTAATCGACTGCAGTGAAGCACATGTGTAGATGCATCTGTCATCAAGTTTAGTGAATGAAAAAAAAAAAATTAGCAGCAATTCCAAGACATGTCCTGAACATTTTTTCCCTAAATACCAAACAAACCAATTTACCTGCTGCTGCTCTTCCAACTGTCTTCTTTCTTCTGTATCCACCGAACCGATAAGAAACTGTGCTGGTCTCAGAGAGGTGTTACTAGAAAGAGTTTGGTTTGTATAAACTGATACTTTTACAGAATACCTTTCTTCAGCTGTATACAACTGCTTAAGCTTGGTTTCTTGTATGACCTAAACATGGAAAAGAAATCTTTGATAAAAAAAGAATCTGCTATATTGAACAAAAAGTTCTTCTGTGTTTGTTACTATAAATCAATCAAAAAGTGTCAGTCATAATCAGGGATCCTGGTTTTCTCCATTTAAAAATCACAAATTCTCTGATATAAAAAAGAAAAAAAAAACACAAATTCACTGATTAAAAGAACCAGAAGCCGTGTTTTTCCATGATTAAAATGAAACACCATTTAAAAAAAATTGACAAATTCTCTTGAGTAAAAAAAAACCCCAAATCTATTTTTCCATGATTAAAATGAAACTCCACTATACATAAAGGTATCAGTTGAACACAATGTTTTATTGACATATTTAGAATTTCAAAGCAATTTGGAAGCCTACCAGTGCCTCAATCCCTATAATAAAATAAATTCTAAATACCTATACATTTTGATGTTTGATTTTGATTTGGGGTTTTTATCATGGAAAATCAGAGCTCCCCCTGCCTCCTCCTCTCACCAGGATGCAAGTCCAGCTGCAGCTCTCCCTTGCTCACTTTTTTGTAGCACTTAGCAACCCCGATATGCCGGTGCCCTGCCCATGCCATTACCCCTCACTCTCATTCCACAGCCCCCCCAACCCTGCTGGTACCCCTTACTCCCTGCCGACAACCTCCTGGGCCTTGTCGGAACCCTTTGCTCCCCACCCACAGCACTCCACACACCCCCAGCCTTGCCGGATGGGGCCCCCAACTGCCAGGGCTATGGGGCTAGGGACCCAGGTCCACAACCCCCTGCCCCCCGCAGCAGAACACAAGCCCTGGCTGCTGCCTGTGGGAGGCAGTGGCTGCTGCGGTCCAAGTGGGGAGTGGAGCATGGAACCCAGCTTCCCCCTCCCCCGTGGGTGGCACAGCTGGAGCAGAGCCCATGGCTAGGAGCAAAGGAGGCTGCCCACTCTGGGCTCCCCGCCCTGCTGCCTGCCCCCCCAGGAACTCTGCAGCCCAGCAAGTGAAACCCAGCTCAGCAGGGCAGATACTGTTTATCAAAATATCGAAATGCAATGAAAATCTTAAGCAGAAGATATTTCATATCACTGTTCTCCATGATTTATAGGGGAGAGGAGGAGTCATGAGTTGGCCTAGCTCCAAAATAAACATTTAATTTAAAATTAACCTGTTTGTATTAACAAAATATCCAAAAGCTTTCTGGCCCAAGCACCTAACATGTTTTGGTTATAAAACACATTCACAGTTTTGACTTTTAAATAGTAAACAAACCAAAACAATTCAGCATGCAACAAAAAGGACATATTTAATTTTCTGTGAAATGTTAGGTTAGAATTACCTATATTTTGCTCCCATGTCTTAAAATCTGTGTGTAGTATAATGACATGCAGATGGCAGGGCAGGGTAGCACCTTAGAGGCTAACAAGTTCAGAAAAGCATAAGCTTTTGTAAGTGACCACCTACTTTGTTAGATACTATGAAAGCATATTGTAGCATCTGACAAAGTGGGCCATTGCCTACAAGTTTGTCTCTGAATCAGTTTGTCCCTTGCTACCATTCCCTCCCTTCTGCCTGAATTCAAATTAATACAGCAAACTAGCTCTCTCTACTCAGTGTAACGTATGCGTTCCTACGATCCTGTCCCCATAACCTCCCTCCCAAAATGAAAGATTTATTTATACTAAATAGCATGCTATCTTGACAAAACTATTGTCCTAGTCATGCTAGACAATAGAGTTTCTTACCCTTTCAATCATATTTCTGGTCTTCTCTGTTCCCACAGGGACCTCATGAACTCGATACTGGAAGCAAAGGTAACTCATCACAGGATGAGGAGCATCAAACAGCTCTCGCAAGAAAGAGAAAAATCCATACTGGCTGAGGAACAGAAAAGAAAAATCACAAATAGAACTTTTAAGTTTGATGAGCAAACAAAGAAAAATATTCTTTAATTCTGAATAATAATAATTTAAAAAAATCAGATCTTTAAAAGCTTGGCTTACAAAAAAGAAAATTCACAGCACAGAGTAAAATATTCAGCAGTAAACACAGAATGTGATTTTAAGTTACTCACTGTAACTCTTCAATAGGTCTTGAAGGTCTGTTTTCAGCCCATGACTCACTGGGTGCACAGACAGCATTCACTCTTAGTTTCTGATGATCACGCATCTAAACATGAAACACATTCAGAAAAAAGTGAAAATAGAAATTTGAGTGAAATTAAAAGTTACTCTAATTTATAAAAAAGATATATTGGACAGATGTAAACATTTATTTTAAATTAATGATCTCACCCTCCTTCTTCATTTGAAACTAATCCCATTTCCATATAATCATGGTGAGAATTATTTAAAACTTTCTCTGCATTCCAATAGCAGAAAACTGCTGATCACAACCCAAATGATTACCCAAGGAAAAGTCTTTTCCCTCCTCACCTGAGGGGGAGAGAGTAAAATCTTTCAAAGTCCTCTTGATGACCCTCAAACAAATGGACAGAAACAAACTACTGTGGAAAGAAATCCTTTAGGTCTGTTAAATATGCTCTGTACGAGACATGGACCCTCAAGATGGACTAAAAACAAAACTTAGAATTCTTTAAAAAGATGTTTTAAATTTACTAGACAAACCAACACATCCAGCAAAACAAATGTCTCAGCAACACAACATGTAAAATTGTAAGCAAATATCTACAAAAGTCCATGTTCTCCCCCAACCAACCAAGTTCTCCAAAAGCTACAGTGTACCCAACAACTGCATAAGAGCATATTTTTAGGAAATGTATAAGTAAAAAGACAGTGACCATTAACAGTCAAATCTAGAGCACATTGTCCAAAATGGGTGAACCAAAGCTAAATCAAGTGCCCAAAAATAGGATTTCTCCTTCCTCAGGCTGCAAAATTATTCTACAGAAATTACTGCAGGCCAATAATGACTACAGATTATTATACAACTCTCCCACAGTAGTGGAGAAAAAAGATGGAAGGTTCGCTTAACAGGTGATCCTTGGTTTCTGTTCTAGCAGCCTCATACTGAATCCACAACTGTATGAGGCAGGAAGTAAAAAACATGCCCCCAGAAGTCTTAGCTAGCATTTCTATTATTCATTTATTTAAAATGAGATGTCTTCTTTGAAGTGCAGACAGGATGGTTTTAAGCATTTCAGTAAAGTTTGTATCAGAAGAAAATTGCAGTTAGTGAACAGTAGTTGGGAAAAGCTACAACAGTTGGAAGGAAACAAGAAAGATCATACAATTTAATGGGGAGTTCTCTCTTGAACTGATTTCTCTGGCTCCCTACACCTATCCAATGTATTTTCCCATCTCTTTGTGAAGAGGTGCATCAGAAAAAAAATACTTCCCATTGGAATACACCATTTTCTTAATGAATTCTCTCTTTTCCTCTTAAGCAAGAACATTGTTGCAAGTGTCTGGTACTTAATAACCTATGGTGTAGAAGTCTTATTGTCTCATGCAACAAAGTGTTTTCTGTACAGTGAAGCCTGCAAGCGTTTTGTCCTTAGCTTGACAAAGATAATCATCACTAATATTCTTGTACTCCTTGTGTTTGCCTGTACTTTGAAAATCTTTTTCTGCTACTTAACTAAACCAGCTGGATGTCTGCAAATCAGCCCTTTCTTTATGCTCTCTCTCTATTACCTAGTGTAGAGCTTAAGTACATTTATCGAATAGGCTCTAAATCAAGAGGGTTCCTGTTTCAATATTCTTTGTTTTAAGTAATTATTTTTGTTACATGCTATAACGAAGTACTTGCCTCACGAAGAAATATTTCCATATCTTCTTGACTTTCAAAAACAAAGGCCTTCATATCATTTGCTGAAATGTGATTTTCGACATATTTAGCATGTCTATTGTCTTTCATGTTGATCTGCTCAGATAAAAATAGAGAAAAGGGAAGATAATGGAGAGTGAGATGTAATACAAATGAAAAAACAAAAACAGTTAGGAGAGTCAAGTAATAACCAAACCTACATTTAATAAAAACAAGCAAGCGTTTCTGCTCTAAGTAAAATAAAAATACACTGGAAGTTTCCAGATTCATCCTTAAGATATTCATTTTTCACTGACTTCATTAGGATCCAGTGAGAATACAAAAAACAAGACTCTGTGAGGAAATAGATCATTTGGAGTTTATCTGAATATTTTTTTAAGACACAATCAGATTACCTAAAATGGAGGAAGCTTCTTGAAATTTGAAAACAATATTAGCTATATATTATAATTCATTAATTTGAGCTTAGTTATATCTGTTACAGCTCTCTTAACTAGCAAGACAGCCTTCCCAATGAAAAGTTTCAGATGCTCTTAAAAATCTCCAGACAAGGCAGAATTGTATGGTACGTGTTACAGACTAGACAGTCCAAAAGCCCAAAGCTGAATCAATTCAGTCTTCGCAGTTTAGTCTAAGCTGCGTACACTGAACCAATAAGCAAGGAAACAAACATTCACTTTTGATTCTGGAAATGCCTTCAGTGGCCCAGGCCAGGAGCCAGGGGGGCACTAGAACATGCCTCCCTGGTCTGCCAGAGCAAACAGCTCGGGCCAAGGCTAGCCCATGGAGGGGATTTGTGGAGGAAGTGCAAAGCATCCTGGGATGCTGGGGGACTGCACGTTAACTTGAATCTGGAGGAGATCTAGGACAGAAGTTCAACAAACCGATTTAACCTAAATCATTTAACCTGATACTACATCCATCCAGGTTTATCTTAAACCTGTTTCAGCCATTTTGAAAGCAGTTTATCTGCACTGAGCTTCTGTCACAGGTTTGAACTGGTTTCCAATCACTTATACTAGTTTGTGTGTAATTTCTGTCCCTAGCCATAGAAAATAGATTCCAATGAGATTCTTCAGGACACTGAAAAGATTAACTTGACCTGAATGATAATAAAAAATAGCCCATGATCAAGATATTCCAGTGATTAAGACTATGTATAGACATTTTGTTTCTCCTTGTTTTCCCAGAAAAAAATCACAAGTATACAAATAGTTGCACCATTTCTCCCAGGACCAAAAATGACAGCCCTGGAAGAAAAAAAACTAACTCCAACCATTTAGAAGTCACTAAACCACTGCTTCTTACCTCTTCCCCCAATACCGGTTTCAGGAATTAGTGGAAGGCTTTGCCAACACACACTAGCTTCCCTTTGCCCCTTTCTCTCCCCCCTGCCCTGCCATGCAGCTGGACAGTGGGACCAGGAACTGCAAAGCCCTAGGGTCTGAAAAAGCTATCTCCAAGCTAGTTTCTGCCCCCCAGGCTTTAAATATTGTCCCTACCACCTAGCTGGGCAGCAAGGGAAGGATTGCAAAGCCTGGGAACCAGGAATTAGCCTCGGGAAGAGCTTCCCTGAGTCCAGTTCCTGGCCCTGCCAGCTGCCCCTTGCCTCCTGCACCACCCATCTGGGCAGCAGGATCTATGATTTCAAAGCTGGTGGTTCTGAGAACTAGGCTTAGGAATCCTGAACTTGGTTCCTGAACCTTCCAGCTTCCCCTTGCCAGCCAGCCAGGGCTGAGGAGGGTCTCCCTGCAGTAGCAGGGCAAAGCTCCCACGCACTCCTCACACCAGAGCCCCCAGCAAGTGGAAAGGCTGGGAGCTTTGCAAAAGGGCTCAGTTCGCTCAGCTGTTGGTGTCCGAGAGCCAAGCAAAGGAAGCAGCACCACCCCCTACCTGCTTCTCACCCCAGAGTCCTTCATGTGAAAAGCAGGCAAGGGGGTTTGACCCACTGCTCCAGTACCTGCAGGAACAGGGAAAGGGGGCAGTTGCAGACTTAATATCTGTACTGCTCCTTCTCCTGGAATCATTCCTAGTGATGGATATTTTCCACTGCTAGAAATGAACGTTTGTACATGTCCTCAGTTACCCTGGCTGTGCTGTATTTAGCAAAAATGAAGGATATAGACAAGAAAAAAAAAACCCCGGTATATGAATTTTCTTATGAATAACAGAACAACACAATGCAGTAATTTGAAAAAGATTAGTTAAAAACTGGTTAATCATGTCCTTAAAACTCTCTCTCTCTCTAAAACAGTCTTTACTAAAACAGCCTGGTCTCAAAAGAAACCCCCCCCCACAAATGAAGACTGGACACAAAATAAAAGTCTCAGTGCACACAGCTGGCTGAAGAAAGCAAAAAACCAAAGCAGCTAGGGAGTATAGTGTCCCTGATAACCTCCGCTCCAAATTTTTGATACTGTTAGAGGTGGGGGCTGCTCCCATGCAATCCTACAAAGCAAAGCCGTTTTAGAAGGTTCCTAAACTCTCTTTTGCCAGCAGAAACAGGCAGAGGGCATCTTCAAGCAGCACAATTCCCCAGGAAAGCCATGCTTTGAGTAGCTGAAAGCACTGTGCTCATTCAGGCTACTCAGCATACTACAACCTGACACTTTTTACATTACCAGCTGTAGGAGGTAAATTACATAAAACTTAACCACTTGAACACATTGATTTACATGCATACCAGTTGGCTACCTAATTTTTAAAGAAAAAAGGAGCTATAAGCCTGACTTCTGAAGGTTTTGTAAGAGACACAATCAACTTTATTTTTAAAAGAGTTTAGCCAATTAGTATTATACTCAAATGAATGTTCTTACTACAAGCATCATGGGTTCACAGACACTTTTTTTAAACTGGTTTCTGTTCTTTCTTAGCCACATAAGAGCACTGTGTGTGTCTCGGTATCTTCCTTTGAGCTTCTCTTCTTTCAGATTCATCATATTATCAAGTTGTACGATACGATCAGTTATTCCTGTAATTTTATGCAAGATAAAATATTAAGTCAGGCCTACATGATTTACACAGCACAATTAAAGATTTTTAGCATTTACTGACTACAATAGTGCATTACCTAGGTTATGGTTAGAAGGGAACTTTCCTTGTTTTCTGTCTCTCAGACCTGGTATCCCATCTATTCTACTCCATATAGCTCTAAATATAGAAGTAAGCTGAAATAATGGAAAATAACTCCAGAACAGAGACTAATAGTGACTAATCATATGTGCACATGCATACACTCCCTCATTGCAGGCTTGCTATTACAATGTTTGAATGTTTCTGCACTCATCAGGGACACTGAAACAATCAACCAAAAATCTTGAACATGCCCTGCCTTAAATAAGAATGCTTCTTCCCTACCACCAGAGGAGTGATTTTGTACTTAAGTATGATAGTCATGCAAAGTCTCCATTTTAGCATTTTACTACTAGATGTTCACCAAACAACACATGGTGGTGGGAATCATTTTCTCCCTCTCCCCTCTGCTCCTTCCCCCAATAATTCCTTCACCACATCAAGGGAGAGGAGTCTAATCTTCTCAGAAAAAACAAAAAAAGCATTCTTAGAGTAACCCCTTTTTCACCGGTTGGGCGATCCCCATCTAGTTGAAAAAACCCTTAGAAACACCCATTTTTGAATGATCCCAGCTCAGATCAAAATGGAATAAGAAGAATCTTGTACTTGGACTCTACATAGGCTTCCCTGTCATTTCTGCTTGACTTTTCTAAGCAAATCACCCCAGTGGGGTGCTGCAAGGATAGATGTGTAAGTACATGGGACAGTGAGCTTATAGGTAAGGTATATGCATGCATAGCAGCAATTAATATAATCTGGAAAACAAAAATGTTAATTCTAGCTCTAATAGTAAAGACAGAACTAAGAGGAAAACCTGGATTAAAGCACAGTATTGCTCATTAAAAAGGGCAATGTTGACCTCTAATTTCATCCTAAATAAACAGAAGAAAAAACTAACATTTTGCCAGAAGGGAATCATTTTACACACAGCATCTTGATCCTATACCATATTTGTTTCTACTACTTTAAGTGGAAATCAATTTAATAGAACGTTTTCCTGATTTTTTAATATAAAAAGTATAGATTTTAAGTTCTTATAACTTTAAGGAAGAAAGTCTCCATTTTCTTTTTTGTGCATTTAATATTCAGAATATCAGTTTCACCATTTATCTGTAGTTTAGTCCTTCACAGAGAAAAATAAAATTTAAAAATGTGATTCCTAAAATATACTAATTGGCAAGAGATCTCAGGTGTGGGTTTAGTACCTAACCTAAGGAAGTCATATTTTGAAACAGACTGTTGATGGTGCCCCAATAAAAATAAGCTATCCCTGCCACTTATAGTAACGTCTTGAAAGGTCGCAATCGATACAGAAGATTACCATATGCATACAAGAACAGTTACTGATGTTTCAAATTGTCTGAGAAGTTACTTCAGTATGGAGGGACTGCTAATAGTTTCCTGAACAAGAAAGCGATCACGTGAACTCACTTTTCTTTTCCGTCTTGAGATTCTCTTTCTCATTTCCCAAATCACTCACATCACTATCAATATTTGCCTTGTCTTCTTGCAAGCGTCTCAGGTCACTGTTAATAGAATCAATTTGTGGCTGAAGATTCTCACAGGCTCCTGTACTGTTGAGTTCATTCTGCCAGTCCGCTATCATCTGTCGGCTGATGTTCATTCTCTTCTGTCGATCCATTTCTTCATCTCTTTTCATTCTGAGAGCCTGCTGAATATCACCAATCTAAAAGAAATATAAATATTTTCTAAACACAAAATTTACAAACAAATTCCAACATACAGGAAGATAATAACATAAAATAACCAAGGCAGATAATTAGAAAAGATTATTTTAGAAGACAAAACGCTAAAGTAACTAAGGTTTGTTTTTTTTTAAAGCAGCATATTGCAACCAAAAAATAAACCCAACTACCTCCAACCTAAATTGATGACTAAAATAACTAGATGTTGTTCGAGAAAGAGTTATAATCTACTCTAAATTGGTTATTACCAGGAATCTGGGTTTTCCGGTTCCTGAGGAAAAAACATGTCTTCCCCTTTGAAGCAGGAAACCACGTTTCCCCTTGAGGGCTGGAAGAGTTTCAGCCTACAAGGGGCTGCCTGAGACTGGGGGGAGTAGGGGGAGGGCAACTGGAGACAGGGGCACCATGTGCATGCACACACACACACGTGGCAATACAGCCAGGCAGAGTGGCAGGAGCAACCCTGAGAGCTGGATACTGCTGGTGGAGGGGGGTTGGAGGGCCAGAGCTTGGGGACAGTCCAAGGGGCAGTGTGTGAGGGATGCGTGGGGTGTATAAGTTTGTGTGTGTGGCAGGATTGTGTGTGGAGAGGATGTGAGATGTGTGTGTGCGCCCGTGACACAATGCAGGTGCCTGCTGATGCTGGGGGAAGGTGTCCAAGCGCTGGGGTTGCAGCAGGGCAGGGGGGTCTGAGGCAGTGCTCAGTGCCACTGGTAAGCCCAGCTCCGAGGCACCTGCCCCTCAAGCAGGGGCTGAAAAGGTCTTTTGAGGGCAGCGGGGAACTGTGTGGCCAGGTTGGAGGCTGGTGCCCATGCTCTCAAGGCAGGGGCAGGGAGAAATTGCCCAGGGAAAGATGGCCATAGCTAGGTCACTTAAGCATGGCACAGGAGGCCCAGCCTGAGGCAGAGCAGTGCCAAAGGTGTTGTCTCCTCCCCCCTGCAGCCTGCGCTGAGGCCAGACTTGTTCCACGGCTGCCCGCATAAGCCACAGCCACCACTACCCCCGCTACTGCCAGGTGGGCAGGGGGCACCTCACCTTGGCAGCCACAGCAACGGGGCTGGCACAGGGCTCCCAGCAGTGCTGGTACCAAGTCTCCCCACCCTGCCCCAACCTCCCACACTGGGTCCTACCCACTGGGCCATGGAGGGCAGCTCCTGCCCAGTGCTGATCTGGTCAGGCTACAGTCCCATGCCCCACACCCCACTGCCAATGAAGAAACCTGGGGGGACACGTGCCCCCCCGCCATATCCTCCTGACACATCACCAATGGCATTGCCTATGCCCATACAACCTTTGCCCCACACACACACACACACACACACACACACACACACCCTTCCCCACACACCCACTGCCTACCCCACACATTGAGGCACTGGGATCCCCATCCAGCGGGGCAGGGGGTGGCAGATCAGGAGTAAGGGGCACTGGCAGAGCTGGACGGCTGCAGGTCAGGAGTGAGGGGCACCAGCAGGGATGAGGGGGGGCAGGGGACTGCAGGTCGGGAGTGAGGGTCACTGGCAGAGCAGGGGGTGGGTGGGGCTGTAGCTTGGGAGCAAGGGGCAATGGTGGGGACAGGGCACCAGCATGTCAGTGCTGCTCAGCACCACAAAGCAGCAAGGGAGATGGCCACAGCTGAACCCGCATCCTGGTGAACAATGGAGGCAGGGGAGCTCTGATTGTCTGATTATTATTAATAATAATAACAACAATAATAAAAATCAAACCCCAAATATATAAGCATTTAGAATTTATTTTAACGATAGAGGAACTGGCAGGCATCCAAATGGCTTTAAAATTGTAAATAGACCAATAAAACATTGTGTTCAGCTGATACCTGATATGGTGGCATTTCATTTTTATAACGGGAAAAGGTGGATTTGGGCACTTTTAAATCAGAGAATTTTGGATTTTTTAACAGAGAAAAAACCAGGATTCCTGATTATTACAAGTTCTTAGATGTGTGTTTATCTAGAATTATAGTAAAAGTCACATGCTGACATGTTTGAGCAGTAGTACAGAATTGCTTAAAAAGTCTATAAAATGCAAATGGAATGTGGAACTTCAGCTCTGCCCCCTTGTGTTTAACGTTCATATTACTTGACTGCTTAGCTACACAAGCTGAATTTACTCTTTGGTATTTTACTTTTTAATTACATGTTATAAATCTCTCAGATTAGTTAACACAAACAACAACTTGGTCATCCAGTTAAAATTACAGCCACATGCAGAACCATAGCAACTCAGTGTTAGAAGGAACTCAAGGGGAGTTTGGCCTAACTCCCATAAAGTAGGCCCTGCTGGCACATACAGAGACAGAGCCTACAATCCTAGCATTATTATCATGATCTAACTTCCCAACCTAACCACCAAGGTATAAGAAGATTATCATGAGTATTACAGCATCAAGTATTTAAGTATTTAATGCATTAACAATATCTGACAAAAGCAGTAACTTGTAATATATACATGGTAACCAAAAATGAGTTCCTTGTAACAGAATGGTGTCTCAAGGTAACTGCCTTCAATTTTACTTAGTAAACAACTGTTCCATTAAGAAGCATCACTTTTCTTGGGAAAGAAAAACTTAAAAATTTTAGTTCCCTGAGTGAAGGCTGATGGGAGATGTACTATCCTATGGGTATTCTGCCTTGTCCATTTCAGAGGAAGCACCCAACCAGCTGTGGGTCCTCAAAGGAATGGAGGTGCAAGCAGTTAGCATAAGTGCACTGCCACTCCAGGTGTACTTCCCCTTACAAGTGGGCTAGAATTCATGCTTCACTGAACCAGGTATTGGGTCAGACACAACATCTCTAAATCCAACAATTATTACCAAATGTTTTGTGTCATGCAGGTAGTAAAGTATCAACACAACACAGCAAAGCACTACCAAACAAGCAGCAAAGAAACTATGCCCATTAAGGTCCTTACTTGTTTGTCTTTCTTCTCCAAAGCATCTTGGTTTTGTTTACATTTTTGAGAAGTCTCTTTGATTTCAGGAACCTATGTGCAAAGAAATTCAAAAGCTTGAAGTTAAAATTTAATTATTTTAAACTTAAAAAAAAAAACCCTATTAAGTACAAAAAAAACATTTTGGAAGGACATTAAATATGCAAAACCAATTATTAACCTATAATTTATTTTATAACAAAAGCCACGCATTCATCAGAAAGCAATTTATTTTTATTAATCAGCTGCTATCAGGAAAAAGTCAAAAGACTTATACTTATTGTATTCATATAGTCAGTTTGTACACAACTGTCTATATGCAAGTGGTTTGGGAACTACAAGGTAATATAACTCGTTATAGATCTGCAAATTTTATTATGTGCCAAATAACAAAGGTTAACATGATTCTGAAATTAAAATTATACTTCAAACAAACAACTTTAGACTCCAGTTTTTAAGGCTACACCTTCTCCAAAACAGCCATCTCAAGAAAGGTCTAATCAACTTAAAGCCACAATTCTGAGCGGACAGGAAAGTGCAGCACATGGCCAACTTGCCCTAGCAGCAGCCCAGAGGGGAGTTTGACTGTTTTTCTCAAGTCCTGCCACTGCTCCATGGCTATACCCTTGGCAAGGGCATGTTTGGCAAATGAGATGGGGTGTAGCACCAAAGTCTCCACTCTGTCCCCCTGACATACACACAAATCTTTCCCCTTTTTTACCTACCTGTGTAAAGAAATGGAGATAGTAACTGGGGCCTTTATGGACCCTGATACCCTCCTGAGATGCTATCTGCAACATGGCTAGCCAGTGCAGGCCCATGAGGGACCCTTAACCTTCTTATACCTATGCATTGCCATGTTAAGGAAGGCTACAATTTGGCTTTTACTTTATATAGTAAACATTTTTTGGAGCAGATTTATAAAAGTGATATTAATCAAACAGAAATTTAAATCAATTTGGGGGTTTTATATTAAACTGATCTGAATTTAAGACCCACCCCCAATAACTAGATTATATGCATGGAAATCCTATAAATTTGTTATCATTTTCCATGTATAGAATCTAATTATTAGAGGGCTATTTTAAATTCATCCTTCCCGCCACTACAGCATAGGTGGGAGGGAGGGACAACAGGTAGTAGGGAGGGTGGGAGTAGGCCTTGACCCCCACTGTCTATCTGCTCCCACCACATGCCCCTGCATGCCTTCCCCTGCCACTGTCTTTGCCACCTCCCAAATAGCCTTGAATCCCCCTTCCCTGCTCTCTCATAGCCTCTACCCTGACTGTCTGTCCCCCCACCACTTACCCTTACTAAGGCTCCAGCCCCACTCCAGTCTGTGGCATGGAGCATGCATTTGCTCTGGCCCCAGCCCAGTCCCAAAGGAGTGGCAGCAGCATGGCAGCTCCGGGGCCAGGCCTGAGCTACCGTCGCTGTTGCTATCCACCTGCTCTAGAGCCAGAGCAAATGAATGGTCTGTGCCAGAACTGAGGCCTGCTGGAGCCAGACCAAGGGTAAAGAGGCAGGGAAGAGGCAGAGGCTGTGGGGCAGGGAGAGACTGGGCAGGGGGCTGGGGGGGGTGGGGGGTGGAAGGGGTCTGAAGCTGCATGGGGACAGGTGGGGAAGCAAAATTTGTGGGGGGTGATGGTGGGGGGGAATGCTACTGCACCTCTGGCTGCAATGTCAGATTGGGGCCAGAGCTATAGCAGCTGCCTGCCCCCTGTCAACTTGTACTCCCATCCAGGACAAGAGGTTTTCCACACCCCTCCCCCAGTGTTAACTAAGGGGGGAAGGAAGAAAAAAAATCTCATCTTAGATTTCAGTAAATATGGTAACTTCAGGTATTACACATCTGATTTCCTACATCAAACTCTGGTTTTACCACCAATTTCCTACTTTTTAATTTGCAAATGCGTCATTTCTCTGCTGCTGTATTCTAGACCTGACAGCTGCATCATTTGTTTGCCTAAAGGAAACAGTAAAGATAAATATACGTAAAGAGAAAAATGCATACTGCAATGTTTGGTGGTGATAGGAGGGGGTGGAGGGAGGTGGAGTTAATGTAAGCCTTTCCACTAGTTTCCATGGCATTAGGATCAGATCAGGGTATTTCCAGATTATAAAACAAGGAAAGAAAAAACATTTTCCCCTCTAATTTTTCAGCAGTGAGTGACAGAGAAGAATTATCGGTACAACAGTTGGTGGTAAAAGTTTTCATATGCAAAAGTAGGTTTTATTATGATGTCCCTTAAATAGAAAAAGGAGTAGGTAGCAACAAAGCCATCTGAAAAAAGTTTAAGAAGGAATGTTTTGTCTGCTTCAACTTGTAAAGCAATAATAGCACAAGCCACTCAGGCTGCTTACAGACATAAAAAAAACCCAAAACACACAACAGTGCTTTACTTTAAACTCAGCACACCCCCACAACTAGCCCAGACCATGCCCAGAAGAGGCACTGCATCAATTGGACCTGGCTTGCCCAACATCTGTATAGATCAGGTGCTTCAGCAGGGCTTTTCTGGAGCTTTTACCTAATAGCCAATTGAAACAGCTATTATACAAAAGCACCAAAAACCCCCAATTAAGTGCATAATCTATACAGATGCTGCAGAGCCAGGTCAAGCCAACTGCCTCTTCCAGTAAAGCGGGGGGGGGGGGTCCCCCATGTCTGTCAGTGCCCTCAAATGCTACTGTCTGGTGGAAACATACCACACCAATACAAAAAGGCTCAAGCCAAGCCCTTTACCTCTGAGCCCTGAGGGCTGAAAACACTCAGCGGACAGAAGCTGGGACCACAGAGAAGTTAAGGAAATTATACTACCAGGAAGGAAGCAAAATCCAGCATTTTTTGCCAAAAGATATATACTCCCTAAAGCAGTGGTGATAAGGATGCTATTCAGCATGAGCACAGTGGGAATGGGAAGAACCCAGATGAACAAATAATGGATCCAGAATGGAGAAGAGGAGGAAAGTAGAGGATATCAGGAAGGACAGTATCTGAATCAAAGGAGGCAAAAAAGAAAGGTGAAGACAACCTAAAAGTGCTTTATTTTGGTTCTGGCAAGGGAAGGATGAACAATGACAAGGACAGGTATGGAAGTACACTGAGAGGAGAATGAGATAGGGTTTTTAATGGTTTATTATATGATTATCTGGAGTAACTTTCCCACCTTTCTGTGATCTGTTGCATTCTGACAGAGATAGCAACTATTAAGATTTATTCAATATTTTACAGAACTGCAAAGCCATTCCTCTAGACAGTCAGAGGAATACAATGTCTGCGTGCTATTATCAAAAACGAATGGAAAGTACAGCTGCGAGTGGGTGGAATCTAAAAATACCCATTAGAGGTGCAAAGCCAAAACGCAAACAGGAGGATGCGATTCTATTTCACTTGTCAGCACTGGTATCTAGCAAATTTAGTGTTAAATTCTGAGCAGCTATTAGGATTTTACATAAAACTGTAAAATAGTTGGGATGAAGGATCTGCCATTTTACAAACTACTGTTTCTGTTCCTGC